ATGTGACACCAGGAGAAATATCCCCGGTGACACTCGATGGCCGCGCGCGACTGGCCCGCGAGCGAGCGGTGCAGCCGGGAGGGCCGTGGGATGCTCAGCAAAGCCGGCTGACATTTCCCACTGTGACGTTAATAAAGGTGGGCTGGAGCAGGGCAGGGAGCTCCCGAGGCGCTGGGGAGAAGCCAGAACATCCCTGAGGAGGGGGACTCCGAGGTCTGTCCCGTCCTGCCCTGCTTGTTCCTTATTCACACCCGTGCCAAAGCAATGCTCAGCGCCACGGCAGCAGCCCCCAGGCTGTCCCACCCACTGCCAGGGCAGGAGCAGCCCTGCTCCAGCCTGGCATTTCTGGGGCACCAGAGGTTTGAGCAGCAATGCTAAAGGACACACGTGGACCAGGCGTGGGGAACAGCATCCTCACAGGTAGAGGCTTTTTGCCGGTGTTGGAAAGTTTCCGAGGTGTTTGCGAAGTTCTGATTTGTTAAGCACAAACAGGTTGGGTTTGCTGGTCCCTCTGCCTGGGTGGCTGCTGCAGCACTGCTGAGCCTGAAGATCGGGAGGATTTCCAGGCAGCCAAATGCCAGATGCTGGTGGCCCCCAGGATAGTTTCCCTCAGCTATACACACCACAGAGAATTTGTTTGGCCATAATCCAAGAGGCTCTGGGAAGCAGCAGAATGCATCTCCTCTGATGAGCATCCCTTGGGATTCCCCAGGGCCACAGAGCTGGGGTTGCTGCTGTCCCAAACCCCCGTGTGCAATTTTAGCAAAGAGCAACAAACCTCCCCATGCCCCCTTTGGCTGCCAGCCCCACGTGGCCAGGAACACGCACATGTGGTCCTCACAGAGAGAACAATTCCAAGTGTCTATAAATACCTGGGAAGGTAAACACATTAACCTTATCATGATCCCAGAGTGTAATTACATACAGCCTGGCTCCCAGGTAAATTAGTACATTAATAATAATTTTGTTCCATAATTACTGTCATTCCTTAGATCTCGCAGCTATTTGCCCATTCACTTACACGTGCAAGGGCATTCCCACCACCACTCCCACTGCTGGAGCAGCCTTGGCCAAACAGCTCCAGGCAGTGCTGGGGAAATCTGTGTGCAGACTACAGAAGTCAACCCATAGTTTAGATAAAGATGCTACAAATAAACCAGCCTGGTCCTCATCCAGCTGTGGAGCTGATTCCTACCAGAGGAGAAGAGTTTCTGCTGGCCAAGCTCCTTGGGGAGTCAGGTGGGATCAGCTCCAACATGGGAGGAAAACTTATAGTGGGAACCTGTTCCTGGCATGGCTGGGATGCTTCACTGGGACAGGGTCACTAGCACACCAGGACTGGAGCCACCAGGTCTGCCAGTGGCTGCACATGGCAAAGGCAGCTGCAGAATTGCTGGATGCTTGGAGGCTCCCAGGCCCCACAAGGGCAGTCCCCAGGAGGAGCCCTCCACTGGCTCAAGAGGAGGAAGGAAGGGACCATCCACTCGGATCTCCATGGAAACCAGGGAGAGGTGGGGAAGACTTTAATTTGAAGTGCTGATTTGGCAGAGGCCCTGGGAGCCATAGGCAGGAGATGAGCTGCATTAAGGAGCAGCAGGGGGGGCCTGTGGCTCTGAAAATGGGTGCCAAAAGGGTATCTGATACCATTAGGCTTGAAAAGTAGCTGTGAAAGGCAAGGAATCAAATGGGACCAGTGTAGCAGCAAATGATTTATTTAATTCATTTGGCCCCTTTTCTACGCACAAATTATCCATAGAGAGACTTTTTCTTTTTTTAATTTGCTTATTAATTTGCAGCAAGGGGGCAGATGGCTGACGCAGGCAGAGCTCAGAGCATCCTGCTGCCTGCACCCTGGGTGAAAGCAAGCCCTGACACCATCCTCACACCACAGGGACTGCAGCCACCAGCACCTCCTGCTCCCAGCTCCCTCCATGCACACTTCAGACTTTGGAGATAAACAGAAGGCTGCAGCCTCCAAGGCTTCGCTTCCAGGACTTTTCATTTACTGTAATTACTGAAGGATGTTTCCCCTGAGATAAGATCTGCATGACATTTGCACAGCCAAACCTCCTGCTCACAGCGGCCAAACAGATTCACAGCCACAAACAACCAGGTCCTGCAGCAGCAGACAAAGCCAGAACCTCAGGGGAAGCCGTGGGGCAGCTCCCTCCAAGTTCCCAGGCATGAGTGCAGGGTTTGGCAAGCCACAGGAAAGCAGAAGGAGAGCCTGATGCTAATCTGGGCTGGGAAGTGAGGAGCAGCTGCCAGTGCCCCTAAAATCAAGTGCTCTCTAAACATGAATTCGGGGCGCAGTCTGATGTACCCTCATGCTGATAAGCCAAGTTTTGCTGCTTTTGCTCCCACAAACCCATTCTCACCACCCTGAAGAATCCCCTGCAGCATCAGCCTTGCATGAGGGGTTTTCGTTGCCTACAGCACCCACAGGGTTTATTTAAAAACCTTAATAGTATTTGGAAATTACAGGCAAATGCTCCATGTTGACCTTCACTAAGGTGGCTGCGGTTTCCCACCTCCGTACAGTAAATCAGTGGGTAAATGAACACAGAGACTCAATTCATCATCAAATGTCAAGCCTGAGACAGAAAGACGGGAAATGATTTAAAAGCAACCGGCAGTTTAGAACTGCTGCAAATTTCTCATTATAGAGCTGCAAATTGTTATGAAAAACTAATCTGTGTTTTAAGCTTTGGTCTGCCCAGAGCTACCAAGGCCCCGTTCCTTCCACCCCTCCCTTCAGCTGGGGTGAGTTCCATCTGACACTTCCAAAAGCTGTTGAGCATCACCCCCTTGGATGCCTCACTTTACATCCAACCCAGCAGGAGCTGAGCTCCATGGAGTGGATTTTGAGGTGTGTTTTGTAAGCACCATTCCCAGGTGAGCATCTTTCCCTGGGGGTTTTTCTCCCCCAAGCCAGCTCCTTCGATGTCATCATGGCACCCATCACCCTCCTCTCTGCAGGACTAACCAGGGAGTGAGGGTGTGCTTTGCAAAATCCTTCACATCCCATCCATTGCAGCTGAACAGGAGCACAGCCACTGCAGCGTGGAGGCTCCTCATCCCTCCTGCCAGACTCCTTTCTCCGGAGACACTAATAAAATGCATTTCCTCCAGCCAGTGTCTCACTTAGGGAACCTTCGCCTTGGTGTGATTGAGTGCACTTAATACAGTCGCTCTCAGTGTAGAAAGGATTCTGAGCCTCCTATTTGACAGCCTTGATCTTAAAGAAATCCATTAAGAGCAGCTTTATCTCTGGGTTTTGTAACCATTAAATCAGGTTTTATCAAGTCGGTGACGCGCTTTCAGAGAGACAAGAGGGAGAAACGGAATAAACCTCCCCAACTCCCACGCTGGGGCTGCTGGGCTGGATTTGGGTGACATGGAAATAACCAAAAAAGGGTTTGTCTCAGTGGCAAGCCTCCCAGGGTGATGCTGCCCCACCAGCAGGTTGCAGGAGCCTTTGCTGGATGCTGCCGTGCTGCTTCCATGCGCCGCAGTCAGCTTTTGGGTTGGCAGAGGCGCTAAATACTCATTTCAGCTAATAAAGATGCCCGGTAATGTCATATTACAGGGCTGGCGAGCTCCCAGCAAATATTATGGTGAGGCTTTGTTTAATTAGAGGGTTCTCAGGCAGTTGCAATTTCCTCCTCATAATGGGGAAAACAAGCTGGGTTTAAAAGTTTGGGCTGGCGGCAAACCCTGCTGAGGCTTGGCCATCCTGAGAGCCAGTTTCCCAAGGGCCCTCAGCTGCTGCAGGAGCTTTGCCCCCAACTCCTATGCTGGTTTTTCTTTTTTTTACCTTATTCTCATTACTAGTTGCCATTTTTTAGTTGCCCCTCCCTAGCCTGGGTGCTGGGGCCAGGTCTCCCTGCTCTCCTTACTCCTTTGTTGCCATTCCAGCAATGCCTTTGCCAAGTCCCCAAAAGGTCTCATCTGCATCTGCTCCAAGAGGTACAACATCTCTGAGAATTACTCAACCCATGGAAAGGGCTTTTCAATCCTTCCCCTCCCTGCACCTCGGTGATGAGACACAAACCGAGATTTTTAGGGCAAATTAATTTTGTCATTACTGGAATCCAGTTTCCCTCCTGACATGAATGCAAATGGGAAGAGCACACCAAGCTGCATGCCAGGCACGGGCGCTCCAGTTCATTGTCATTAGCAGGAATGACTTCATTAACAAGTGGGAACCCAGGAAGCTGCCCCCACACTTGTCTTGAGTTTGAGAAGCGGCAGCAGCAGCAATTCCAAGGGCCATGGCCATAATGCCAAGCAGCTGGGACACAAAGCATTTGCATTTCCTACGGGGAAAGTTTTATCAGCTTTTCTTAATGACAGCTCTGTAGATTTTGGGTCACAGACATGTGCTGCAGGGGAGCAGGCAGCACCATTCAAGCACCAGCTCAGCTCAAGTCCCTGTGCTGGCATGCCCTGAATGCTGGCACATCATTCACCACTCGAGCTGCCTGTGCTGCAGGTACAGCACCAGCTCATTCATAAGCCTCAAGAAATATCGTTGTGTGAAAATGTAATAAAAATTATTCAGCTAATCTACTTTAATAACCCAACTTCGGGGCCTCTCTGTGCTGCAGACAGTATAATCATTTCTAAAATATGAGCTGTCATTTCCCATCAGTGCGAGGGAGGCAGAGGAACTCGGCACCCGACTTTATCGGGGCCACTAATTCACCAGCCTCAGGCCTGTGGAGAGTGAGGCAGCATTCCAGAGCTGGTGGGCTGCCCTACCCTCCCATTCCCATTTATGGTCCCTGCCCTGACCCTCAGGATGCTCCAGGGGATGGGGGTGATGCAGGGGGACCTCCAGGACTCATCTCCACAGCACAGGGATGCTGAGGATTTCCACCTCCTCAGGAAGAAAATGCTGCCACACTGTGACAGTTGTGCACAGCAATTTTTATGGATCAAGGATGAGTAAAATGTATCAAAAAAATCTGTAAAAAACATCTTAGTGTGTACAAAACTCACCGTTTAATATAAAATATTTTAAAAATATTCCGCAGAATCAAATCTGCAAACTTTTTAAGTTAAAAAAAGATTAAAAGTGCCTAAAATATCATCATGCCTAACAAAAATACAGATCCTGCAATCACAAAGTGCCGTAACACATCCACTCGTCTCAATTTGTGCAGAGGGAGCTGCCTGGCACCACCAGCACTCATGGAAATGCCCAGGGATCCCACTGGCAAGGTGACAGCCAGGGGATGGGGGTCATGAGCACCCTCAGACAGATACAGACACCCCCAAGGTGGTGTGGGCTGGCACAGGAACCTGCAGCAGCTCTGCAGTGACAAGCAGGAGGCCTCACTGGTACAGGACCTTCACACAGAAGGTCTCCTCGTTCTTGTCCTCGTGGTCATTGATGTGGATCAGGATCTCCTCCTCCCCCACAGTCTGGCTCGGGGCGAAGCGCAGGCCGATGGTGTACACCTCCCCTCCAGCCACCTGCAGGAGAGAGGGCAGGAGGAGGCAGCAGGACCTGGCCAGACCCCTTCATGTGCCCACCTTCCCCCAGCCAGGGCGGCCCTCAAGGCCAGCACCCACCCAGTGTCACCTGGTCTGGCCAGATGAGGGGCCTGACAAGGGGGGAGTGCTGGCAGCAGGACGTACCTCGAAGGAGTCCTCCTTGAACTGCAGCAGGTCAGGGCGGTTGGTGCACAAGAAGTAGAGGCGGGTTGAGGGGTAGGGGTTGGTGTAGGTGATGCGCTTGTTGCAGCCTTTCCCACCTCCCGCAGGCAGAGAGATCTCAAAGGCCTGTGGGGCAAGCAGGGGTCCAGGTGGCAGGGTGGGCAGCAGCAACAACGGGCACTCCCCAAAACCCAGCACAGAGAATTGCCTCCCACACACTGCCCTCCCCTCCCACACCTCACATCTGCCCTGCCAGCCAGCAGAAAGAACCCACCTTTGATCAAAAGAAGCAACAATTAATTATGAGTGTGAAGGACAAAGGGCTGGGAGAGCAGCAGACAAGCCAGCTCCTCCTCATTCCCAGGAAGAGCTGTGGTGCTCAGACAACTAGATGAACTTGATGACCCTGAACAGCCCCTTCCAGCCCCAACTACGCTGATTCTCTTAACACCTCATAGCACAAGCAGCATGTGGCAGGACAATGGGACATTGGTGTAAATGCCAATCTGAACCTTTCCCAATACCAAGAGGTTCAGGAAAACATTTTTAGAAGGAACACATTAGCCAGGAAATCTAATTTTCTGTCTTTGAGGCAAGGCCTCTGCCAGCACAGCGCTAATCGAAAGCAGCATGCTGCAGCTCTAATTTCACAACTGGGAATACTTCCGAGCTGCCGCTCCTCAGCGTGGGGCTGCCTCCAAAACAGCCTAAAAGACATTCTACCAGGGGCTTCAGTGAGATTATTCAAGTACCCCAAGGGCTAAATGTGTGTTTATGATGGCAAGTGCCAAAAAAACCACAGATGGAAAGAGAGGAAAAAGCAGGAGACAGCCCCAGGTTATGGGCTGAACTGCAACCACTGATGCAGCACCATCACCACATTTCACAGTGGCGAGAGCTGCCGTACCTTGGAGATGAGAGGCTGCCTGCAGGACAGGCAGAGCAGCCAGGAGGACACCAGCTGGTGGGACTCCACATCCACCAGGTTGAGGTAGATGAACTTGCTGCCAGCCCGCCGTGGCCTCACACCGATGTACAGGTCCTGAACGCCATTGGCAGGCAGGAGGAAGGCACCGTTGGGATCCACCTGTGGAACAACACCTGGAGGTACAGCCACCCACAACGGCTGAGAACAGTCCTGAAAAGTCCAGCTTGGAGCACCAATTAGACCCAACTGCTCTTAAAAACCTGTACCCCTATTCCATCACTATTGAATCCCATACCTCCCAGCCCCAGGAATACTCTGGGACTAATTCAGGTCAGGAAGGACAAGAGCCACTCGGGAACACCCAGGGCCTCCCCAGCCCAAGGGTTGCACCACACAGGCTTTGCCTGAGGAGCCTTTGCCTTTCCTTTACAGGACAGCAATGGAGTTTTTCTGCCTTTTATTATTCACATTTCCAATTACGGACGAACGAATTCTAAAGAAATTGAGAGTCTTCAGACAGTCTCATTAACGCAGATAATTTGCCCTCCGGGGTTTCGCGCCAATGATCCTACACATGACAACTCTAATCAAAAGATAATTATCACAAACGCTTTACGGCTCTCAGTTGTTCACAGTTCCGTGTGGGTTGCCTTTTGCTTTCTGGAGGGGGTTTCTTTGGGCTGACTCAAGCCAGCCAGCCCCCAGCCCACCACGGGGGTTACCTCCAGCTCCTGGGGGTGGGAGGGGAAGGCGCGCACCCTCCGCGGGGCCGCGGTGCCGCGCAGCAGCAGGGACAGGCGTGTGAGCTGCCCAGCCGTGCAGGCGACGTCCAGGCGCTGCAGAGAGTGCAGGTAGAACTGCCAGATCTGGACAGGTGCTGCCAGCCAGGCGTCCCTGTGCATGGACAGACGGACACGGCTCGCCACACGCCATGGGAGTCAATGTTCCCACCCTTTTGGGGGTACTGCTACTTACGTATAAATAGCAACAAAGAATTTTTTGATCTGCGGGCTTGGTCCTCCGGCTACTTTGAGAAAGATGTCCTGTGGCTCGCCAGGCCCCTGCATGAAAACAGAGCATTGTCCCAGCAGTTGACCAGCTAATGAGGACCCCAGGGGTGTCTTCCCACTAATGGGGGAGCTACCACCAACTCCCTTACGAAAGCAGATGCTTTCGGTGCCTCGTTAAACTACGTTATTAAGTTATTATACAGCTTGGCTCAGCTCTCCCAGTATTTTTAATTACAAAAGAGGATACAAATGACTATCGCATTCCAGGTCTGTATCTGTAATCAAATTTTGGCAAATTTTCCACAAGTTTTCTAACAAGCCCTAATCCAATTACCATACTAACGCATTTCCGCAACAGCAATTAGCAACTATCCCTCGTTGCCATTTGCATGGACTTGCCCAAGTTTATTTTTCCCTTCCACCTTTTCCTGCTGTGGAGCCAGCCCAGGAAAGCCTCCTGCTTCAGGAGGAAGTGGGATGGTGCAGGGCTGGGCTTGGAGCTGCCCCTCTACTCTAGCATCCTTCAGCAGGGACAGGCTTTGCTGTGCACCCCAAGGACACGCCATCCCCCCACCCTCTGCCAATGGCTGCGGATACCCCAAGCAGCAGAAAGCCCAACAAAAGGCTGCTTTTCCCCAGCATCTGAATCATCTGGTACTTGCTCAAAAGAACAAGCAAGTACAGGCTGCTGCATGATGCGATAAGGGGCAATGCTCAGCCTCCCCCGCCAAAACAACACAGCTCCTTTTAATTGGGAATAAAAAGCAATTCCAGCTTCATTGCTGCCACCGTGTCACTGCCATGCAGGGCTGCTCTGCGGTTGCACCCACATCAGCAGCTCTCTGCCAACCCAAACAATCTGAGGAGAAGGATGAGAGGAGAAGCGATGCCCAAGTGTAGCATACCAAGGATTTGGTCTCACAAATGATGTCAGGGTCACTGCAGCGAACAAACATCTCAGGCTGCCCGCCCGGCACCCCCACTGGCGTGCCTGTGGACAAGGGACCAAGGAAATCACCTTCAGCTTTTGCTCTACCTGTGCCTGTGCTCCAGGCAGCTGCACACAGAACCCCTCAAGCCTGACTACCAGCAAACCACACAGGTGTGAGGCTTTAGGAAATTCAGGTTGAAGTTAACAGAGAAAGATGGATGAAGAGCAAGCAAGGAGCCCAGGGCCATGAAGGCGTGAGGAAGCAGCAATGTGCTCTCTGAATGCTGCTGTGCCTCCAGAAAGGCTCCATGAACTATGGATGATGACTAACAGGGAAGAGCCCAAGGCATGCCACAGACTCACCAGGGAGGGTGTGCCAGGGAGGCAGCCGAATGGTTTTCTTCAGGAAGGTGAGCTCTGGGTGGTAGAAGCGAAAGGTCTGATCCACCACATGGGGCTGTGGCTCCACCTTCACCCTCAGGAGCGCAATGGGCTTCCCCCTGCTCACCTGGAAGGAGACCTGTCCCGGGGGCCAGCAGGAGGGCTGCAGTTTTCCACTGATTCTGCTCCTCCCATGCAGCCCCACAAGCTGTGTTTCACGTGGCTCCCTAACCTGGATGAGCTTTGCCTGCTTGGCCCCACTCTTCCCAAAGGAGTGAGCATTCTCATTGGCACCAGTGCCCAGCCCAGCTGGCCCCTGTGGGGTGAAAGAGTGAGTTCCCTCAGAGTGCAGCATCACTGTGGCTGCTGCTGCTCCCCATGGCTGTTCCAGAGCACTGCAATAGTAACCACAGCCAAGGGGAACACTTCAGACCAGGAACAGCTCAAAACAGGGGCCCGTGCCCACCTGTGCTGCAACCACGGCAGGGTCTGCAGAGAAGGTCTGGTATTTGAAGGGGATGTGGACAGTCTCACTGGGGCGCAGGTAGACCTGAGGCTTGAGGTCCTCACGGAGATGGAACATGTCCTCTTCCACCGGTGTAACACTCTTGGTCAGCTCCTTGAAGTGGCGCCACTCCCTCGGGTCCAGTATGACACTGGGGCAGCGAGCAGCAGAGGTGCTGGTGAGGACTGGCAGGGAGCTGGTACCACCCTGGCATCTCCCCACGCACACAGGGGAGCCCCCACCTGAGCTCGGGGTGGTCGACCTCGATGGTCACGGTGTGCTGGACGCTGTACGGGTTCTTCAGGGCGAACTCGAAGAACTCAGCTGTCCCCAGCACAGCGTGGACAGTGCGGGTGGCTGTGATGGCCTGGCTGAGCATCTGGTAGATGCTCTCTCCTTTGATGTGATCCCGGTAGGAGTCGATGACCTGCAGGTCCCAGGCACGCTGCTTTGGCCAGCCCTGCCCAGAGGGAAGGAACCATAAGCACAGAGACACAGCAGGAGTCTGGTCCCATGCCCTGCTGCCACCAGCACCCCCGTGCAGCCACACCAGCACCAGGAGGACATGGCCTCAGTGAGGGTGACCAGGGGCCAGGCTCACTTCTGGCCGGCGACTGCGCAGTGCGGCCTCCAGCTCGTTGTCCACATCCACCAGCCTCCGTGCCCACACCGTCCTCCTGCCTGTGGGGAGAGACCACCATGGCAGCAAGGAAGGACCCCCCAGGTACTGCAGCTGCAAGAGCCCTGCAATACTGCAGGGCTGGAAAGGGAAGCACCAGAGGGGCAGCTGACCCACAGCTGGCACTGCAGCAGCAGAGAGCCTGCACACCTCAACCCACAGGGGGACAGGCCAGGCTCCAGCAGGACTCACCACCAGGAGTGTTCAGGGAGTACCCCCTGCCACCTGGGGTGGTGACAGTGCTGTCTGCTGCAGTGGCAATGCAGGAATGGGACGGCAGCTGCCCTGGGGTCTCCTCGCATGGGTGACCTGCCACAAGCAGAGACAGCAGTGAGTGGAAACCATCCATTTTCATTGTTATAAAATCTACTGCAAAATTTTACCTCCCCGCGGCTCAGCTCAGCCAATTTACACAAGCAGGAGAGAATATCTGAAAACCAGTGATGTCCTAAGAGCCCCACATGCTCCCCAGAGCCAATTCTGTCACACAGTCAGGGATGGAGCAGCACTGAGAGCACACACCATCCTGAGGCCCTCACCAGCTCTTGCTTTCATTTCTGAGTTCTGCCTCCCCCTGCATGGCCATGTGCTGCTGCATCTCCCCACTCCCACAAAGGCTGTGCCAAGTGGTGCCACATAAGGCTCTAAACCCACCAGGTATTTGCCCAGCCTACACATCCCACACCCATCCTTCAGGAAAGGGTACCAAGCTTTGCCATTCTGTTTCTAACAGTATTTTGAATTTTTTTTTAAAAAAAGAGGATGGGAAAAACACCAATCAAAGGGCGGCCGCTGTCCTGGCGCAGCAGCTCTTTGTCAGGGTGTGAGTTAAACCACTCCCTGGGTTGAGGATCTCAGATTCTCCTTCCCAGGAGCTTATCGGCCCTTTGCAGGCAAAGTATGAAAATGATGATTTAAGATATCTTATATGGAGCTAATCTCTCCTCTGAAGATAAGATTTTAAAACCTGGAGTCACTGCACATTTACAGGACACAGAACTAAATACATAAAATAAAAGCAGCCAGCATGTTCTGGGAAAGATGATGTCCCTGGGTCTCACTCGGGAACAGCCCTGCACATGCTGCGTGCCCCAGCCCAGCCTTTGGGCCACACGAGCAGTGGGTTCTCACCAATATTGGCCAGGCAGAGGTGCAGGCGGCCCCTCACAGCCACACGGACCCCGAGGGGCCGCAGGGCGCCGTGCCGCAGAGCCTCCCGGCCCAGCACCGTCCCGTCCGCCTCGTACTCCGCCGTGGCCACCTCCAGCTCGTGGTAGGTCCTGACAGACGTCTGGCCCTGGCGCAGCAGGGGCTGGGCACGAGGCAAGGACAGACAAAGTGCAACGAGTTACTGGGGAGTCTGGTCCACAGGGGTCAAGGGGTCTGGGTGTCACCCTGTTCTTCTGAAGTTCTTCTAAGCGTTCTGATGTTTGCATTTTTGTAATGGAGTTTCTCACGCACTTTTCATGTAAATAATGACTGGTTTGCATTCCTTTCTGGAGGAGGAGAGAATTGATGGACTGTTGGTTTGACCAGTGTGGTTGGAGAGGTGGCAATTTCATCCTCCAATCCATGGTCACTTTTGGAATTCTATTTCTGGGCCTCGATATTTTTAAACCTTTTTGTCTTAGACATCTCAGGGTGTGAGTGTCGTTCATTTCATGTTGCATTGCAACATCTGGGTATGAATGGCACTGGATGTCCTGCCCCTGCAGGGCTTAGTGGTAGAATACAACCCAACCCAGGCTGCTGTCACACTCTCTCAGTGGTAGCACTTTACTGCCAGAGTTACAGGAAAGGGCAAAGAAAGTTAATGCTTTGTCATCACTTTGGAGGAAAAGATAACAAATCCTGTGATTAGGGGCTTGTCAAGCTGACACCAGATTTGGTTACACAGAGGGGCTGACATCATCTCTATTACTGAAGACACAAGGACAATGCAACAGCACCTCACTACAGGACCAAAGGGTGAGCTGGGCTCTTCCCTAGCACTCCACACAGGCAGGGGGCCCTTCAGCATTACCAGCCACAGGAAAAGACCTCCAATCTAACCCATACCTCCAGTTTAATGGCAGCAGACCCAAAATGGAGCAGGGAGTCTCCATCCCAGACGTCAATCTGGAGGCTGTGCTCAGCCAGGTACCGCAGGAACCAGCTCTGCTCCCCGGGCCTCAGGAAAGCTGGATCCACCATGTACTTCAGCTGCAAGCCCGGTGGTCCTGCAAGACACCACACTATCACAGACAGGGCACTTGGCTTGGTGGGAAGCCTCAATGTGCACCTCACAGAGCTGACAGTGTACTCCTTCAAACACTGGATGTTTTGAATGATTTTCATGATGTGTAAACCAGCAGAGGTTTGCTATTAACAGCAGCCCATCCCTTGGGCCAGAGGCAAGCCCTCATCCACCCAACAGAAGAAAAGCAGCCAGACATGGATGCTAAAAACAGCTTACTGGTCAGGGTCCCATCCTCGTTGACACGCACAAGGAGCTGTGCAGGCACAGCCAGCCCAGCTGCCAGTCCCCCATCCATGCTGACCAGCTGCAGCCGCGGCGTGGTGACCGGTGGGAAACGGTAGAACTGGAAGGTGAGGAAGACAGTCCTTGGCCACAGCCCCTCCACGCTGTCCTGGGCATCTCTAGATGAGAGAGAGAGGTTTGGTTAGGGAAGCCTCCATGTGCACCTCACACAGCTGACACTGTGTCCTCCTTCAAACACTGGATGTTTTGAATGATTTTCATGATGTGTAAACCAGCAGAGGTTTGCTATTAACAGCAGCCCATCCCTTGGGCCAGAGGCAAGCCCTCATCCACCCAACAGAAGAAAAGCAGTCAGACATGGATGCTAAAACCAGCTTACTGGTCAGGGTCCCATCCTCGTTGACACGCACAAGGAGCTGTGCAGGCACAGCCAGCCCAGCTGCCAGTCCCCCATCCATGCTGACCAGCTGCAGCCGCGGCGTGGTGACCGGTGGGAAACGGTAGAACTGGAAGGTGAGGAAGACAGTCCTTGGCCACAGCCCCTCCACGCTGTCCTGGGCATCTCTAGATGAGAGAGAGAGGTTTGGTTTACTTGTGGCACAGCGCTGCCACTCTGTCATGAGCTACTCATGCATTTGGCACATGCCAAGAGGCAGAAGAACAGGAGAAGATTGGCAGCACCACAAGTATTTGGACTTCTCTGAAGACAGCAGCCATACGGTTTGCCTTAACTTCCCAAAAAGCTTTGTAATTCCAGCTGTCTCCTGCCATATGCTGTGATGGAGGCGCCCAGCAAAGACAGCGTGTTACCTTCCCACAGCACACTGCCAGCCATGGAAAAAACAGAAGTGGGGCCTTATCCAGCCAAAGCCAACCCTTGGGTGCCAATTTTTCCACCTCCATTTGCATTTCTGGAGAAACCCTGCATTAATGAGCTCTGACATCACATTGTGGCTCATGGATCCAATTTTAAAAAACTGGATTATGACTTAAAAGTGCCCAGGGAAGAGAAAAGTAGGTGCTAAAAGAAGAGGTACCTCTGCAAGGATGTCTCCTGCCCAAGCAGGGAAGTGGGTTAGGGGAATTTGGAAAGGACTCTGTCCAGAAGGCATCCCCAGTTGGGATCTGCCCACACAAGACCATGAGCTGCCATCCCACCTGCCAAAAGCCAGGAACTGCAGGACTATTTCATTGCCTTGCAGAGGGTCAGCTTCCTCCAGCCGCAGGTTGAAACTGCCCAGCTCCACTGGCTCTGAGATTTCCACTGGCTCCTGGTTGAGGTCCAGGATGTCTGGAAAGCCGGCAGCGTGCAGGCGCGCCAGCGCGGCACGAGACAGGGACACGTGGGAACTGATGGAGAAATAGGGGTGAGCTCCACTCATGGGAGACCCTGGCAGCCGAGGTGATGGGGCCACAGGAGCCTGGGGAGGGCAGCTGAGCATCACCTGCATGCCTGCAGTCCCACAGCAGCCATGGGCAGCTGCAGAGGGGTGAAGGGCAGCGCCTGCAGCTGCTCGCTGGCACAGGGCTCTGCGTCCGGCGAGCCCAGGTCGGCCTCCAGGTGGGTGATGCCCCCATCCTGCTGCAGGGTCTGGCCTGTGCTCCGTGGTGAGGCCACGAGCTGGGACACTGACAGCTGGGGAGAGAGCAGCAAGCGTGAGCAGCCACAGCCCCAAGGCAGCCCCCTGAGGCAGCCCTTGTGGCAGGCTGAGCCAGTAGCCCCTCTGTGCTAAAAAAGCTCAGCCACCACGTGCCCCAGTGTTGTCATTCCACCAAGAAGTCTTACAACTTGGCCACACAAGGGTTTGCACCTCCACTGCCATTTCCCCACTGCTCGCTCCCCGGCAAGAAGAGGGATGAGCACATGCAGCAGGAAGATCAAACTGCTTAATGCAGCCTTATGAGGCATTTCATTTCATCAAAAATATTTGCGTGCATTGATTCCTGCATCAAGATATAAAACAGCATAAAGAGGGCTCTCAGTATTCACAACTCTCCTTAAATCCTGGGAGCTCTGCACGAACAAGCCGTGTGTCTCTGTCAGCACATACTGGGGACAACAGCACCCAACAAATCTGGGCTGTCAAAAACCAGAGCTGCCCTCACTCCTGTGGTATGAAAAGAGCACGGGGAATCTCTCCCAGCATATCACAGACAGGAGCTGGTTTGCTGCCTGGAGTTGAGGACACTTGGGGCCTCTTGGCTGCAGCACACAGGAAAACAGGCAGGGGATGGGTCCAGAAGCACATCCTACATGTGGGCCATCCCCTGGGGAATGCTGCTGCCCACCACCCACATCCACTGGTGCATGTGGCACTTACCCCAGGTCCCCGTGGGGAGACTGGCACTCGCTGTGGGGCTGGCACTCCTGTGGAGAGGGACAGGAGAGATGCTGTAGAGGAGCCAAAACCCCCAGGCCCCATAACTGCAGCCAAACCCCCCACTGCCACCAAACTGCCCTGTCCTCCCACCAGCCCTTTTCAATTTTAGGGGCGAAGGCAGCGCAGTGAAGCAGTTTATCATCACCCAAACATTTCTTTTGACTTATTTCCCAATAAGACTGCTGCTTGGGGGTTAACACAGCACATCTCCAGCTCCATCCGTTATTTTGCCGTGAATCAGGCTAACTCTGCCACAAACAACAGCTCCCCCATCCCCTGACAGCGCCACGGTGCCTCACGGCCACGCGGTGCTGCCTAAGTGGGATGCTTAATGAGACGTGAAAGTTTAGGATACTTAAGGTTCTCATCACTTCTCTGTTATTTTTTGTCACTCCCTTCAACTGCTGGAGCATTTGTGCCCCGAAACGGTGGGAGCTTTATCGTGTTTATATTGGGCTGCTCTCTCGAGCCGGCACAGCTGAGCTCGCTGAGCCGCGGGTCCTTCGCACAGAGCAGGGGCACAGATGTTCCATCTCTGCACCCACGTGATGCTTAGACTTCAATTTTCTTTCCCCCACCACATATATCCCAGCTATTCCACGCTGGCTGCTGTGTAAAGGAAACCACTCCGTTTCCCTCATGCCTAAAATATTGTTTCCTTCCAGTCAGGATGGCTTTGGCTGGCATTAAGAAGAGGATGGACAGGTACAGCAGCAACACCAGCATCTGAGCTGACAGATGAAGCTCTTGGCCTCCCCTGGGCCAGGCAGCAGCACGTTTCTCAACAGAGCTCTACAAAAAGTTAACCCAATAGTCTCTTCAGCACCTTGGAACACAGGCTAGAGAGGCACAGCTCTGGGACCACCACTGCACTTGTAAGGGCTCCCTGGTGCCATAAGCCCCCTGGAGCTGGAAAATGCCAGGGAGTTTGTCCCTGAAAATCACCTTGATGGGGATCTCCCCTCATCAGGGACACAGCCCACAGCCCAGCACACTCCCCCAAGCCAGAGCACTCCAGACCACTACCAGGTTGGAAGCTCAGTGTCAGCATTGGCTCCCCTCTCCCCTCACCACACCACAACTCCATCAGCATCCCAGCCACCCACAGATGAAAGGCACCAGGAAAAACTTTTCAAGCAGCACCAGGAAGGTACCAGTCATGATGCAGCCTGTGCTGCAGGGAGATGAACCCCACATCCCCTGATATCACGAGACCCCTTCATTTACCACTAAAGCTTTCCTCACCAAAGCCCCTCCCAGCAGCAATCCTGGCTCCTCACCAGCAGAAACACAGGATTTGTCACAGCAAAGCCAAGGTGCCACTGCCATCTCGTGGTTCCACAGCACTGGAACCAGCACGGAACAGCAACCCACCGTAATGGGCACTGCCTGGCCTGTGGGCTGACACTAAATGGCTCATCCGAGAGCTGGGGAGATATGACACACACTGAAACACTGCCTGCTGTCTGAAGCATCACCCCGAGACACAGCTGGGACCCCAGCAGGAGCAGCACTGCAAAGAAAGGGGAGTTTGCTTCCCACCAATCACAAAAGGGGGATGAGAGAGAAACAAGCCAAAGAGGATTTTTAGAAGCACAGTGCATGGACACAACCTCATGCCCAAACTCAAGCCCACATTTTTCCTTTCATCTCCAATACAGCAGGAAGGGTGCTGGAACCCCAGACACACAGCTCCTCAAACTACAGACAGATGCACCTGTGCACATGCACAGATGCTGCCTGCTGTTCGCCAGCCAGCCACCAACACATCCTGCACACATCAACCCAACCCAGGCTGCTGTCACACTCCCTCAGTGGCGGCACAACCAAATTACTTTTCCCCAGCCTATGACTGACATCTCTCTTGTCTGGAGAGACTCTGAGTCCGGAGAGAGAAGCAGCAACACCTGCAGTGAGAACGTGCTGCTGGTGTTGCCACTGCACCCAGTGACCCAGAATGGGAGCAGGCTGGGGCAGTGCTGGCAGTCCCTGGGGATTTTGCACATGGCTCAGCAATACTATCACATGGGAATTTTGCAAGTTAAAAAGTAAGAGCTGAATTCAACTTGACAAAATCTTGCTTCACTCCAGTAATTCATAACTAGCTTGCTGAAATTCACTAAAGTCTTGTTTTCTCTCCCGAGCAGACACCAGTGCCACACTCTATATTTTAAATGTCAGCGATCTGGAAAACACTCACTCAGCGATGGCGTAGGAGGCTTCTTCGACTCGTCCCTGTCTTTACATAGGATCTCTGCAGCAGTTACAAGATGTTCTTCCGAATCAGTGGAAACATGGAATTGGACAGTCCCAGACTCCACGTGCTTCCCCTGAAGTTGGCAACAAAAATGCTTTCAGACAGCATGGTACACGCAGCCTTCCTCGTGCCTCCAACAGCAGCTCCCTAGCCCTGACACCGGAGCAAAGCTGCCAGGGGCCAGCACACCCTTACCTGCCGGGAGCTCGGTGGGGTCTGGTAGACCAAGGTTTGGCAGGGGCCACGGCGGGCACCGCCACGCAGGGGCAGAATCACATCCGTGTCACCAGTGCCCGGGACAGGGCTCCAGACAGCCCAGCGCACCGAGCGCATGTCGGCCGCCTCGCTGCGGGCACTGCCCGACAGGGCCTGGGGATGGGGGAGCACAGTGAGCACCAGGCAGCCCCACCTCACTGCCAGCACCCCCATCTCACTGCCAGCACCCCCACCTCACTGCCAGGCCTCAGGAATGGGTGCTGCCAGACAGGCGGTGCCTCTCATCCCCCACCGCACCTCCTCACACCTGGCTCTGGCACCAGATCTTCATCCCATCTACTCCCATTCTGAAGACATTTCACTTTCCAGGACCTTATGCCTCTGTAACCCCTCCCTCAAGCAGCTGCACGTAGGGATACATGTTGGACCCCCATCCCTGGCAGAGGGGAAAGGTTTCCACTTACCCAGCACATCCACAGCCTCCCTCAAACCGAAGGAGGGGAACAGATACAAGAGAGGGCTCTGCCAGCACCCACCCTCCCCCTCACAGCTAATTATGGCACTGAGGACAAGGACAAGGTGATCAGCTTTGCAAGCAGCTTTGGGATTAACCACTCTGCCCCAGGGCTGCACCACAGGGACTGGCTCCACTGCTGCCCCAGACAGCACTCCCCACAGAGCCAACAGATCTTCCTCTGGAACCCCTCTGGAACTCCACGGGACCTTGGGCTTCAGCTTTCAAGGGAATCAAACCCAACAACAACTTCCAACAGCACAGCTCAGTGTCTCCCTTCTCAGTAAAAATCCCTCTGGCCAGGCACAGGCATCCTGCTTTACGAATGCCCATTTCCCCTACTTTGGCTCTGGACAGCTTAACAAGAGGCATTTGCCACATTTTCAATGAACATCTTAGCAGGACGATTAAAACCTCCTAACAAACAGTTGGCAATCGATTCAGCCAGCCAGGAGCTGATGGCTCCAACAACACAAGGTCTCTGGAGGGGATACACAGAACTCACTGAGCTGGGTTTAACATGCAGAAAGGTTAAACTAAGATATGAGTAAACGATCAGTAAGTAGGTGAGAGTACATTGACTGAAGAGACCACCCTCAGAGATTTCTCCTGCCTTTACAGTTTGAGAACATCAGGCTGAAGCACCCAAAAAACCTCATAATTCAGGACAAAAACAAAAAAAAGGAGCAGGATGGGTTAACCTCTTTTCAGCATAAATGCCAAATTCTAAAGAAAAGCCTTTTTGATATTACAAAAAAGCTGAAATTTTCCAAATTAGCTTGCCAGAACCCTATGGGAATACTGCAGGCTACATTCCTGCATCTACGTATAAACAGTGGAGAAATGCAACCACGTTATTAAAATAATTCACCAAGCCATGCAGGTTGTTTTGTGCAGTGCTGAGGAAGGCATCCACACACTTTGCAGGGCCCAGCATTACACAGCACAGCCACCCAACAAGGAGCTACTGTGATTTGGAGAAGCACAATGGTGAAATGGTCAGAGGAAGGAGTTCCTCAGCAGGGCTCACTCCTCCAGAATGGATCCCTGCTCTTTCACAGGCACAGACACACACGCTCAGCCCTACCTTGCCACCAGCTCTCCCCGTGCTGCAGAAGACATACTCCAGCTGGAAGCAGACCCTGAATGCCGGGTGAGGCACCATTTCACTCAGCTGGATGCGGCTCCTCAGCACTAGGGCTTGACCATCCCTGTGCGGGATAGAGGGGTGGCTGTGAGAGATACCCGAGGCAGGAGAGAAGCAGCAGCAGAGGAGGTCCCCCTTACCTGGCTCCAGAGCTGGGCACCCCCTGGCAGCGACCTGGTGACAATTCTGCTGCTGGCACCAGCACAGCCACCTGCGGTGCCCGGACGAAGCGCAGGCCGTTGTGGACGCCGACGTGCAGCCGCCGCTCCCGAACCACCACCTCCTCACCATCTGGGGCACTGTTAGCCTGTGACAGGAATGTTTGACACCTTGGGCAGCACTCAGGCAACCCTTCAGAAACTCAAAAAACAGGGCCTATTCCCCCAGCAGATGATGGATATTAAAATCTTTTGTCTTTATGGCAGAGTTGGTGTAAATCTGGCAAGAAAGGACCTGGCTGGTGGCTGCCACTCCAAAGGGAAGGACTCGATACACACTGCATCTCATCTCTGCATTTCATCCACAGCAAAGCAAACCCAAATTCTGTTTATGAGTGTCTGGATGTTCAAAACAAAGCCCACACAGAGCACACACATACTAATCCAGTAGCGAAACAAGCTAAAGGGCTTCCACAGCAAAAAAAAACATTGGAGACTCTAAGAGAAACAAATGCATGAATATCACTTACCTTCACCCCACCCATAATTCCAGACACTAGAATTACTGCTCTACACTGTGCCTTCCCCTGCCCCAACAACATTGGCAGTACCTAGAATGATGGAATCACAGAATGGTTGGGATTGGAAGGGACCTGAAGCATTATCTTGTTCCACCCCCAACTGTGGGACCCTTCTACAAGAGCAGGTTGCTCCAAGCCCCGTCCAACCTGGCCTTAGACACTTCCAGGGATGGGGCAGCCAGTTTCTCTGGGCAACCTGTGCCAGGGTTTCACCACCCTCACAGCACTCTACTTACCTGAAGTAAGCGATCGCTGTTCAGCAAATCCAGCAGTTCCTCCTCAAACTCCTCCAGGGAAGGGTACAACTGGATGGAAAGCCGCTCCAGGTAGCAGGTGACCGTCTTCATGAGCCGGGGCTTCTGCAAGCAGTCGCCTGAAAGACAAGGTGGTGGCCACAGGTTTCCCAAGCAAACAGAAAGCCACCACTGCTGTACTGGGGTGATCTGCAGTGCCAGCAGTGGCTCTGCCCACTCAGCTTCTGAGTATGGGCCTGAACACGTGCAGGGACTCAGCTGCTTTCAAGACCTTGCACAGCTTCAGTACCAACAGTTAATACCCCAAAGCTATCAGCAATAGGTTTTCCAGGCAGGAAGCTGAAGAACAATTCAGCTGAAGAACTCTGAGGAATTTTTTACCCTCTGAATCTTCAGCTCACGTACTTTAATTGCATAAGCTCGAAGGGCAATGTGCCATAAGGAGAGATTAACAAAAGCCATGTGGGCAAGAGCTCATCCCCCCAAACCTGCCAGGCCCCAGCGATGCTGAACCCACCTCCGAGGAGTTTAAACAAGCTGCAAAAGCTCTTTTTAAGATTCTGCTGAACGACTGTAATTAAACCAACCGTCACTTATCCCTAGCAGCTTCCCAGGAGCAAAGCAATTAATGGACAGGGAACTGACTGAGCCATTTTGACAGATTCCAGACTGAGCTCTGAGCATGAGGGCTGTGGCCCCACGCAGGGGGGATGCTCTTGACAAGGGGAGACACTACAGAGAAACCACTGTGCTGCCACAAATCCCCTCCCAGTGCCCTCCTGCCCTGCCCACAGCCCCACAGGGACCCACTGCCTTAAAGCAGGAGCAGCACAAGCAGAGGGAAAGAGCCCTTACCTGTGTCTCCACGTGCCGGCAGCAAGCCAGGAACAGTCTGCAGCCCAGATATCAGCAGGTTTTCAGGAAGTAGGTGAAATATTGCCTCCAGGGGCTGGTGGGACTTCAGGCCATACTGCAGGTGGCTCTTCTCCATCACTGTCATGTATTTGTTCTCTGAAGAAAACATCCCAAAATGACCAAAACTGGGAAAACAGCTTCACAGCCCCAATGTTGAATGAATCTGTGAGTACACATGCCAGAAGTAAAGGAAAACCTGTGTTTGTCCAGCCAGGCCATTCCCAGCTGGCAGTAAGGCACATCCACTGAGCAGTACCAGGTCACAGACCATGCCTCACATGAAGCAGATACATACAACACACATTTGGGTAAGAAAAGCCACCAAGAAGAGACTGAGATGCCACCTCTGGTTGCTGCTTACTTTCCACAGGGTCCTGGAAGCGTGGGTGCAGTAGGGCACGTGGTGTCCCATGGTACAGCTTCAGCCTGAAAGCAAAGAGCACACGTGCAGCAGTCGGTAAATCCACCCTGAAGCACATCTCCTTCTTCCATTACATCTCCATCTTCCACAAAGCCCCTGCTCAGCAGCAAAACCCACCCAACCCACTCTAGAAAAGCCTTTTAGGGAAGGGACAGGCATTCCTTCCAAACCCATCACTGCTTCCCCAGAGTGAAGAATTCCATGTTTCTAAATGCTGGCTCTGTTTCTGCAACCCCAGGACCACTCTTCTCCCCCCACCAAAGCAGCCATGCACATTGCCACCTCAATTCTTAGTGTGACCTGTCCCACGGCAGCAGGGGAACCTACGCTCTGTCCTCAGTGGCCAGGTCTGTCACCTCTGATCCACCGTGGAAGAGGGGGATGATTCCAAAGCCACAGGAAAGGTGCTGAGAGCCCCCATCCCCTTTCCCAGCTCTCTTTACCACTTCCACGACAGCAGCGATGCCAGGGTGGTTCAAGGAGGTGTGAAAGTAAACGACCTGGGACAGGAAAGGAGAGAGATGGGCTGTTTCAGAGCTGGCAGTGGCAGATGCAGGCAGAACAGTGCCTGTTGTGCTGGGACACTCAGTGGCACAACCAGAACATCCTTTAAACTTCCAGACAGAGCTAATGGCAAATCACTTCTGACACAGCTACAAAATCTCAGCCCTTAAGTCTCAAGCATCATCTTTTTCTTTTTAAACTTTTTTTTTTGTTGCCAACACCTGTTTTCCAGAGCAACTCCCAGGCTGCAGACCCCAAATGAACGGGGTGCTTCAATGCATCCCAGACCTACAGCATTAGAGCAGGAAAGAGGAGCTGGAAACCTTCCTGAAATGGGGAGGGACATGGGAGTAGCCTGGACCTAAGGGCAGGAGGGGACAAGACACAGGTCACCTCCCCAGGACAGAATTTAACGCTAGGTTCATCTTTCTATTAAAAACTCATTACCTCAGTGTTTCAGGGAAAATGTTTACTGCAATATAGGCTGTCAGGAAGGAATAACAGAGAGAGACATTTCCACATCAACCCTGGGACATAAATCGTTATTCCATTAGCCTTTATTGCGAGGTGCTGGATTAACGACCTGACCACTGTGTCTGCAGAGCAAGGCTCACCCTGCAAAGGCACAGGGAGCCTGACAGGCAATGCCCTGTACCACTGAGGGCCCCTCCTGATTGCACACAGCAGTTTCTGTCACTGCATTCCTCTCCCCCAGACCCTGAGGACAAAACCCACCATGCAAGCAGACTCTGATCCCTGTCCTCACACCTCCCTGCTCTGGTGAGGCTGGAGAGCATGAACACAGCACACGCAGGCAGAGGAGCAGAGACTTTCCTCCTTACCTCACCTGTCACAAATCAGTTCCAGCTCCACCTGAACTGTTCCTAACAACAAGCTGCTGACTTTCCCACAGCTGAAAGATCCTACCCCACATGCAGATCAGCCCTCCCCTGTCAGACCCTGCAGGCAACACAATTCAGCCACCACAGTGAGGCTGCAACACAGTCCCCCAACACCCCAAAATTCCTTCCAACTGCTCCCAACATGCATGGCAAACACCCAGGAAGCCTGCAGACGCTGGGAATGTATTTGGAAAGGCAGCTCCTCCCAGCATTCAGCTCTCTCTGCAGTACTCTCTGCCCTAGTTTTAATCCATCCCTCTTCAAAACAGGCTGGGGTGGGACGGTACTGAAACACTTGGGAGAGAAACGCACACATCAACGCTGCTCAATGTTGCTGTTGATGTAAAGGAAGGACGAGCACAGGGCCCAGCTGTGCTTCACTTCACCTGCAGCACTGAGAAGGTGGAAATAGAGCTATGAATTGGAAAACATGGCTCATGCTACGGGGCAGTGGGATCTCCCCATTAAGGGACACCCTGCTGGTATCAGCAGTGGGTGGAAGCACGGCTTTGGGAGAGTTTAGCTCCCAGATAAGGAGAGAGAAGCCCTGTGCAGGAGGGTGAGCAGCTGCTCCTTCCCTTCCTTCCCACTTGTGAGGAAACACTGCTCTCTGCTGCCAGCTCCGAACACGGCAGGTGGCACTCAGTGGCACATCGCTGCTCCCACGGTGGCACCAGCCCCAGAGGAAACCCAGCACGCCACTTTCCCCAATAAACCATACACAAAGCTCAACAAACGGGCAGCGTCTGGGACGCACCCTGGCCAAAAGGGATGGAAAAGGGTTTGGTTGTGTGTTTTCCCCGACCCTCGGCAGCCCCCACCTCGTTGAACGTCGCCCTGGCCGAGCGCGGCGGGGCAGCGCTGGCCGCTCGCCAGCTGCTCCTCCACGTCCTCCCAAAGAAGTGGTGGTAGGTGGCATCAAAAAGGGACAGGCGCAGCTGGTACTCGGCTCCCTGCAAGGCACAACGCACCAGCTTCGGGGACAGGCCAGCTCTGTGTCCCTAAGGCTCAAACACACTTTGGTAAGAGATATAGTTCCCGTTTTCTAAGGGACGCCCAAATCAGGCACGTGGTCACAGCTTCATGCATTGCTGCAGAACCTGCCTCCAAGCCAGAGCAAAGAAAAAGTGGGAAATTTGAGCATTAAGCATAGAATAAAGAGGCAATTGATGTTAAGTTGCTATCCAGAAAATTTAATTTATATATACTTACTTAAACTAACAAAAAACTAAATGAAAAATTAATTAAATGCTAACTCAGATTTACAGATAATATTGAAACAACTTAGTCCTTCTGGGAGATCTCCAGTTAGTTCCCCCGAAAAACCACCTTGCTTTAAAAGCCATTATGGGGAGTTCAGGCCCATACACACGGACAGGAATGCCAAAAGGGACTTAGAAAAAAGATGGGGAGTGACTTTGTACATACACAGAAAGTGACAGAATAAGGGGGGGGGGGGGGGGGGGGCTAAACTAAAAAAGGAGCAATTTAGGTTTGATCTTAGGAGGAAATTCTTCTTGTTAGGATGGTGAGGCACTGGCACAGGTCATCCAGAGAAGCTGCGGCTGCTCCATCCCTGGAAGTGTTCCAAGCCAGTAGGTTGGAAAGAGCAACCTGGTTTAGTGGAAGGTGGCCCTGCCCAGGACAGGAGGGTGGAAGGAGATGACCTGTAAGGTCCCTTCCAACCCAAACTATTCCATGACCCCATGAAAGTGCCACTCGGCAGAAACAACGGGCGCAGCAAGACATTGCGGGGGTCCCCTCGCGGGGCCGATCGCCCCTACCTGGGAGAGGGCAGCGCCGTGCAGGTACTTGAGGGCGCAGCGGAGGGCGGCGGAGCGGGGCGGGGGCCGGGCCCGGCCCCGCTGCGGGTGCGGCGGCAGCGGCAGGTGCTGCCGGAACACCCGGTCCCACTCGCCCATCGCCTCCCGGGGGTCGCCGCTGCCTCCCGGCGCCAGCTAGGGCGGGCGCGGGGCTGGGACACCGGGGGACACGCACCCTGAGGGAACACAGCACACACGGACCGCGCACAGTCAGCGCACAGCCACACGTGGGTGGGGACGGCCGCTGCCCATGCCCGGCCCGCATCCGCCTGGGGATGCACACGGGTACAGGCAGGGCAGGGCCGCCCACGCACCGCCGGGCTCCCGGTGTGTGGGAGCGGGACTGGACCCAGCCCGGTCCCTCAGCGCCCGCGCCCCCCCGCTCACTCACCGCGCCCCGACGCCATCTTCTGGGCCCAACCAACCGCGCGCCGGCCCGAGGGGAGGGATGGACGCGCTGCCGCCGCTCGCCGCCCCGCCGCCCACCTCTCGCGCCCCATCGCCGGCGGAAAGCGGAGACAGTCAGCGGAGAGACGATCTTGGAGCGATTCTGCACCGGCGCGGGACGTGGCGGCAGGACGAAACAGACGGCGGCAGCGGCGGCCTCCCCCTTTCAGAGCGGGTGGTCGCGCCCGGCTCAGCATCGGGTTACTAGGGCGATGGTGCCGCACCGCGCGGGGCGGGTCCGCGCGCTGGGCCCGGCCTGCCCTGCAGCCAATGGGGACGGCGCAGCGCCCTCGTCATTTGCATGCGGCGCGAGAGGCGGGCGGCGCGGCCAATGGGCGGCGGGAGGGGCGGGGCCAGGCGCGGCGGGGCGGGGCCGCCCCCCACNNNNGGAGCGGGGCCGGGCCCGGGGCTAGGGCTGCGGCCGGGCTCGGGCGATGGCGGGGCTGTGGGGCCGGGCAGGGCCGCGGGCAGGGCTACGGGCGAGGCCACCCCGCTGCATGCCCCTCCCGGCGCTCGCTGGTGCGGAGAGAGGGGCCCTCACCCCGCCGCCTGCTGTCGGCCCGGTGGGACCCTGGGCTGTGAGGGGACGCGGAGAGAGAGGCTGGCTGTCCCTTCGTTCCCACAGCGAGGCGAGGCGGGCTCTGTGGGTGATGCTCCGGCAGCCTGCGGCCTGTCCCCGTGCGCCGGGAGCCCCGGTGACACGGTGCGAGCCGCCGGCAGAGCCCCGGTGACACGGGGGTGGGAACATTAGATTTTCCCCCGAGCCCATTTGCGCGCAGTGAGTCAAACGCCGCGGTTCCTTCGGCTTCCTTCAGTTTGCTGCCGTCTCTTAGTCCGTTCCTCGCCTCGCTGTGCCGCGGATGGCAGGAGCCCCGAGCCCTGTGAAGGGTCCCCGGTCCCCTCACAAAATGCTGCTCCCTCACCATTTCTTCTGCCAGGCCTGAAGCTCTGAGCCTCTGTCTCACCAGCCTGTATTTTTTTGGGGCTGTTTTCCTCATGATGGGGATCCCCATAGGCCCATGCCTGTTCAGCCTGCGGCCAGCACGGGAGAGGTGAGACGTGGTCTGTGGTGCTGGCAGGTGTGGGCAGGGCACCCAGCCTGCTTCCCAAAACCACAGGTTTCTTCCCCAAGCGTTGCTGGGAGCCACGGCGCAGCAGTGGGTGAGTGCCAGAGCGGGCTGGGCGAGATGTATCCAGTCTCTGTCACATCCCCTGTACGGGCCTGTTGCATATATGCAGTGATTTTCCAGCTGGTGAGCAGAAAATGCCTTTACAGGGAGCTGCCAACGGCAGATTCAAGAGAGCTGCTGGTTTTATTCATTATTACTATTATTGTTTTGATGAGTAGGGTGGCAGGGCCAGCTGTCACCTCCTGCTCATGGCCTGCGGGTCTGTGGGTCAGATGCATCACGGAGCAGGAGCTGATCAACCTGGCACATGGCTCCCACCATCTGTGGGGGTAGCAAAGCCACTGATGGGCTGGTGCTGGGAGCATCCCCAAATGGGACGGGGTTTATGACCTTCCCTGCCTGTTACTGGCTGTTCCTGGAAGTGCTTGTGGCGTGGAAAGTGGGCAGCCTGCTGGGATCACCCACCCTGGCAGTGCTGAGTGGGCCCTGTCAGTGTCAGCATGGTTTGGAGCAGGCAGTGTGATCATTGGCCCCGTCGCTGCCAGGACTGTGCTGAAATGGGAAAGGAAGTGCCAAGATGCTGTCGTGAAGCTGAACAGGACTCGGCTGAGGGAGAGGAACCAGGTTTTCCTAATTTATAGCTGCCAGAGCACCACTGCGTGAGCAGCCTGTCCCAAACCCTGGCCCCTTTTTGCTGGCTTGGCCTCTAGTTTTCCTGTTAGATCCAGCTGCATTGGTGTTGTTATCACTGCAGGATCACTGAGTCGCACTGCCACAGGGACCAGCCTGCTCCAGTTACTGAGGTGGCACGCTCCGGGCTGGTTTTTTTGCCCAAGATAGCCAAAAAGCCAAAGGCACTGCGAAGGCGTGATGAGCACAAGGAGGATGGGTGGCCAGTGGCAGAACGCGGCAGCCGGGTGACCCTGGTGCTGGAGGCAGCCCTGCAGCATCACTGCCGACGCTGTATTTGATTATTTCAAGAGAAACACACCCGGCGCGATGTGAGGCAGTGATGATGCAGCTCCTGCCCAGGCTCCCCGTGGCCCCGGACGAGCCTTCCCCCGCCTGAGCTGCGCAGGGGCGGCTGGTGGCAGCCGCTCGCTCGCCCACGCGCTGCCGGTGCCGGGCTGCGGCGCCGACACGGTTAAGGCACCGGCGGGATCGGGAGCCGGCTGCAGCCACCGGCGGAGCCAAACTTGCCGAGTCAGGATGTGAGAGCGGCAGGGACGGCTCTGCAGCATCTTTGGGTGCTGTCGCATCCCGGGGCGCGGAGGGCTCGGCTTCCCCCTCCGCCAGGCGCCTTTTCCCGGGGACGGAGCGGGAATGGGGTAGGAACCGCCATCCGCTGCGTTTGCCGCCGGCTGCAGCAGCTGCTCGGCACCGGCGCCGCTTCCCGAGACCCGCGGAGCCCGCAGCCCGAGCCGGCAGCCGGCTTTGACTCGCTGCCTTGAGCCTCCCGGCCGCGCATCGCCCTCCGTCCGAGCACCGGAGACAGGTAGGTGCCGCGGCCGTGGCTCAGCCCTGCCTGGCCGGCAGCCACGGCGCAGCGGGGAGCTGGCAGTGCCACACACCGGGGGACCGGCAGTGTCACACAGCAGGGACCCGCGGGCAGCCCGGTGGACCCCGTTACTTCGGCTCGGGTGTACGTGACGGCAAAGCCGGGATAACCGCGGCCGGTTTGTGCTTTTGGGCTGTGTCATTGACTCGGGCAGCTGAGCAGCGCCGGTGCCGGAGCTCCGGCGGTCACGGGCGACCTCACGTGTCGCAGCTGAGTCCCCAGCGCCCGCCTGCCGCCTTGTCGTGGTGATGGGCTGGGGAAGGCGCGGGAGCCCACCCGGGCGGTCCGAGGCCCCCGGTGGGCTGGGAGATGCTGCGCCGCAAAAGAGGCTCCCGGGCCAAAGGAAGGGGCAGGGCTGCTGCTCTGCGGATCCCTGCGGCGCCGGTGCAGCCGGGGGAGGGGGGGCACGGGACCAGCACGGGGCATGAGCGCAGAGGTGACGGCAGGAGGTGACAGGAGGTGCCGAGGCGACAGGGCAGGGCAGCGTGAGTCATTGAGCTAAAGTCACCTTCCCCGTGGTGTGCAGCGGGGCATTTCACTGTGCTGCAAACACAGTGGAAAAGGGGGAGAAATATGGGGGACATCACCTGGCATGGGGAGATGCGACATTACCTGCATCCCTCACCTGACTTGGGCAGGATGCTGGGGTACCCATGGCAAGGGTCCCCCAGCTCTCCCTGCCCCAGAGCCTCACCCTTGGAGGATCAGGCTCGCCAGAAGCAGCAGTTTCATCTCTACATTCACATTAATTCCATGTCCAGTTTCACCCACTCCCACTCTGATGGCAGCATGTCTGGCAGGCTGCAGTATGTAGTCCCCCCCATGCTGGCCCAGCTCCCGGGGGCTTCCCAGCCATAAAACATCCATGTCACAGCACCCACAGTCCTGTACCCATTGTGCTGCCAGGGATGGCAATGGACCTTGGTGGGACACAAATCGTGAGGGTGTCCTTCACCTGACTCTTGGGTACATCCTGCAGAATGCAGAACACTTCTCTTCCCTCTCAGGCCACTGCCGAAACTCCTGCAGTTGCAGACTCACAGCTGAGTTGTGCCATGAGGGAGCTGGAGGTGCAGGAGCAGTCTCAGGGAAGCACCAAGCTGCTGATACAGAGGGGATTGGGCTTTTGGTGATGCCTTTGGCTCAGAGAGCTCAGAGGGATGAACTGGCCCCAAACGCTGGGACACTTTGGCTCCTCAGGGTGCAGAGCCCTGACCCGTGTACCCGTGGTCCTGTGTGCTTGCCAGCAAAGTCCCTCTAGCACTGCCAGAGACTTGCCAGCCACTGCACTTGGTCCCTGCAGCTTTGCTGAGAGGCTACAGGAAAGGGGCATCAGATTCTGCTGAAAATGGCAGAGATCTGTGCTCCTGGCACCGCAGCCCCCTGGGATACAGAATCGGCCAGTCCTGAGCCACTCAGGAGTCCAGGATTGTGGCAGTGCAAGCAAGGAGCTGCATGGCTGCACTGGGACATGGGGGTCCAGCTGTCCCCCCTGCAGGCGTCCCCCAGCTTCCCTCAGCTTTGTTTTGCTGCCCTAACATGTTTAGCTGGCATGAGCGGGCAGGACAGTGCCTGGCCAGCCCGTGGCTGCTGCTGACCCGGCGGTGCTGCAGGCAGCTGCCCACCGCCAGGCGAGGCTGTGGGAGCTCTGGAACCAACACTCGCAGCACCCGGGAGAAGCTGGGGGGTCACGAGGGCTTGGGAGGCTCAGCCCCGGTTGTAGGGCTCGGCAGGGTCCTGCTCCGGGCTCAGGTCAGTGCTGCAGGTTCGGGAGAGAGCGGCTCCCTCCTGGAAAATAAACCCGGCTTTATTGAGGCTCCCTGAGCTGCGGCTGTGGCCAAAGGAGACGCACTCCTGCAGCGCTCAGGAGGAGGGCGATGGGGATCTCTGCCGGGGGCTGCAGCCCGGCCGGGAGCTGCGGTGGGCGGCTCCGCGGGGATGGGCTCGGCTGCCGCAGCTGCTGCCATTGGGCTGCGTGGGCTGCAGGGGCTGCGCCGGGATGCAGGCACGCCGGGCCGGGATGCCGGAGGGATGCAGGATGCGGGAGGGATGCAGGATGCTGGCACACTGTGTTGGGATGCAGGATGTGGATGCAGGATGCGAGCATGCCCTGCTGGGATGCAGGCAGGATGTGATATGCAGGCTCACCGTGGCGGGATGCAGGATGCAGGGGTTCTGTGCCAGAATGCGGGAGGGATGCAGGATGCAGGCATGCTGTGCCAGGATGCAGG